TGGAAGGCTGAGGTGGAAGGATCGCCGGAGCCCAGCAGGTCAAGGCTGCAGTGGCCAGGACCGTGCCACTGCACTCCGGTCTGGGTGACGGAGTGAGACTCCAACTCAAAAAAACAAACAAACAAACAAACAAAATATATATATATATAAAATAACACCACTCTAAATAAACCAGTTTGTGATTGGTACATGAGTGGGCAGATCAGTGGAACAAAGTAGAGAGACCAGAATTAGACTAGTTTATATCTGCCAATATGGTTGGAACAAAGGTAGCATTTCCAATCAATAGGAAAAAGATTATTCAGTAAACGTTCTTAGGCAACAATAACTAACTGTTGTGGGGAAAGAGAATCAGTGATGGATTGCTATCTTTTTCAGTACCCTAAATAAGCTTCATGGATCAAAGATTTATGTAAAATTTGAAATTAGAAAGACACATAGAATTTTTGAATCAGAGCCTCACTGTTGCTCAGACTGAAGTGCACTGGCACACTCACAGCCATCGCAGCCTTGACCTGTTGTGCTCAGGTGATCTTTCCACCTCAGCCTTCCAAGTAGCTGGAAAACAGGTGCATACCACCATGCCTGACTAATTTTTTGGTTTTTTTTTTGTTGTTTTTTTTTGAGTTGGAGTCTCACTCTGTCGCCCAGACTGAAGTGCGGTGGCCGCTCCCGGCCACCACAGCCTCTACCTGCTGGGCTCCGGCGATCCTTCCGTCTCAGCCTTCTGAGTAGCTGGAACTACAGGCGCGCGCTACCATGCCCAGCTGATTTTTTGATTTATTGTAGAGATGAGGTCTCGCCTGCCTAGGCGGGTCTCGAATCCGCGGGCTCAGGCAATCCACTCACCTCAGCCTCCCAAAGGCGCAGGATTACAGGCTGAGCCAACGAGTCCGGCTGTTTTTTTAATTTATTATAGAGACAAGGTCTCATCAAGTTGCCCAGGCTGATCTCAAACCTCTGGGCTCAGGCAATCCTCTTGCCTTGGCCTCCCAAATTGCTATGATTACAGGCATGAGCCACCGCACCCAGCTGAAACAGAATTTTCTAAAATCTCATAGTATGGAAGGCTTTGTGTGCAGCACAAAAATATTCAGAGCTCATAATAGATTAATACATTTTAATTTTAATTTTTTTAGCCAGGCTCGATGGCTCAGCCTGTAATCCCGCACCTTTAGGAGGCTGAGGTGAGTGGATTGCCTGAGCCCGCGGGTTTGAGACCCGCCTGGGCTACTTGGCGAGACC